ACTACCAACAGAGTAGAACACTTAGAAGATAGAACATCAGACAATGAAGACAAAGTATTTCAACTGGAAAAGAACATAGACAGCTCAGCAAGACTGTTAAGAAACCATGAGCAGAACATCCAAGAAATATGGGATAACATTAAGAGACCAAACTTAAGAGTCATTGGGATACAGGAAGGTACAGAGCTCCAAACCAAAGGAATGAGCAGTCTATTCCATGAAATAATACAAGAAAACTTCCCAGACTTGAAGAATGAGACAGAATCCCAAATCCTAGAAGCCTACAGGACGCCGAATGTGCAAAATCATAAGAGATCCACACCTAGACACATTATAATGAAGATGCCCAACATACAGAATAAGGAGAGAATTTTAAAAGCTACAAGAGAAAGGAAGCAGATTACATTTAGGGGCAAGCCAATCAGGATAACAGCTGATCTTTCAACACAGACTCTGAAAGCTAGAAGATCCTGGAATAACATATTTCAAACACTGAAAGATAATGGGTTCCAACCAAGAATTGTGTATCCAGCGAAATTAAGCTTCAGGATGGAGAATGAAATTAAAACCTTCCACGATAAACAAAAGTTTAAAGAATTCGCAGCTAGAAAACCATCTCTTCAAAACATCCTAGCCAAAGTATTACAGGAAGAGGAAATGGAAAATAACAATGAAAACCAACAGTGGGAGGTAGGACAGTAAAGGGGGGGGGAAACAATCAAAGAGGAAAACAAACAATGTTTAGTAACAGAAATAAACAAATATGGCTGGAAGAACAACCCATATCTCAATAATAACCCTAAATGTTAATGGCTTAAACTCACCAATTAAGAGACACAGGCTAGTAGAATGGATCACAAAACAAGACCCAACAATATGCTGCCTACAGGAGACGCATTTGATAGGAAAAGACATACATAGGCTGAAGGTGAAAGGTTGGGAAAAATCATATCACTCATATGGACTTCGGAAACAAGCAGGCGTGTCCATACTCATATCAAATAAAATAGATTTCAAGCCAAAGTTAATCAAAAGAGATAAAGAGGGACACTACATACTGCTTAAGGGAACCATACACCAACAAGACATAACAATCATAAATATTTATGCCCCAAACAATGGTGCAGCTATGTTCGTCAAACAAACTCTTCTCAAGTTCAAGAGTCTAATAGACCACCACACCATAATCATGGGAGACTTCAACACACCTCTCTCGCCACTGGACAGATCTTCCAAACAAAAGTTGAATAAGGAAACTATAGAACTCAATAACACTATTAATAACCTAGACCTAATTGACATATATAGAGTATACCACCCAACATCAAGCAGTTACACTTTTTTCTCAGCAGCACATGGATCCTTCTCAAAAATAGATCATATATTATGTCACAGGGCAACTCTTAGACAATATAAAGGAGTAGAGATATTACCATGCATCTTATCTGATCATAATGGAATGAAACTGAAAATCAACGATAAAAGAAGGAAGGAAAAAGCATACATCAATTGGAGAATGAACAATAGGTTACTGAATGATCAATGGGTTATAGAAGACATCAAGGAGGAAATTAAAAAATTCTTAGAGATAAATGAAAACACAGACACAACATATCGGAATCTATGGGACACATTGAAAGCAGTTCTAAGAGGAAAATTCATTGCTTGGAGTTCATTCCTTAAAAAAAGAAAAAACCAACAAATAAATGATCTCATACTTCATCTCAAAATCCTTGAAAAAGAAGAGCAAAACAACAGCAAAAGAAGTAGAAGGCAAGAAATAATTAAAATCAGAGCTGAAATTAATGAAATCGAAACAAAAGAAACAATTGAAAAAATTGACAAAACTAAAAGTTGGTTCTTTGAAAAAATAAACAAAATCGACAGACCCTTAGCGATGCTAGTGAAGAGAAGAAGAGAGAGAACTCAAATTACTAGCATACGGGATGAAAAAGGCAATATCACAACAGACACTTCAGAAATACAGAAGATAATCAAAAACTATTTTGAATCCTTATACTCCAATAAATTAGAAGATAGTGAAGGCATAGATAAATTTCTTAAGTCATATGATCTGCCCAGATTGAGTCAGGAGGATATAGAAAACCTAAACAGACCAATATCAATTGAGGAGATAGAAGAAACCATCAAAAGACTACCAACTAAGAAAAGCCCAGGTCCCGATGGGTATACAGCAGAATTTTACAAAACCTTTAAAGAAGAACTAATACCAATACTTTTCAAGCTACTTCAGGAAATAGAAAAGGAGGGAGAACTTCCAAATTCATTCTATGAGGCCAACATCACCCTGATACCTAAACCAGACAAAGACACTTCAAAGAAAGAAAACTACAGACCAATATCTCTAATGAACCTAGATGCAAAAATCCTCAATAAAATTCTGGCGAATCGGATACAAAAACATATAAAAAAAATTGTACACCATGATCAAGTAGGATTCATCCCTGGGATGCAAGGCTGGTTCAATATACGGAAATCAATAAATGTTATTCACCACATCAATAGACTTAAAAATAAGAACCATATGATCATCTCGATAGATGCGGAAAAAGCATTTGACAAAGTACAGCATCCCTTTATGTTCAAAACTCTAGAAAAACTAGGGATAACAGGAACATACCTCAATATTGTAAAAGCAATCTATGCTAAGCCTCAGGCTAGCATTATTCTGAATGGAGAAAAACTGAAGGCATTCCCTCTAAAATCTGGAACAAGACAGGGATGCCCTCTCTCTCCACTTCTCTTCAACATAGTTCTCGAAACACTGGCCAGAGCAATTAGACAGACGAAAGAAATTAAAGGCATAAAAATAGGAAAAGAAGAAATTAAATTATCACTATTTGCAGATGATATGATTCTATATCTAGCAGACCCAAAAGGCTCTACAAAGAAACTATTAGAGCTAATAAATGAATTCAGCAAAGTGGCAGGATTTAAAATCAACACGCATAAATCAAAGGCATTCCTGTATATCAGCGACAAATCCTCTGAAATGGAAATGAGGACAACCACTCCATTCAAAATATCTTCAAAAAAAATAAAATACTTGGGAATCAACCTAACAAAAGAGGTGAAAGACTTATACAATGAAAACTACAGAACCCTAAAGAGAGAAATAGAAGAAGATCTTAGAAGATGGAAAAATATACCCTGTTCATGGATAGGCAGAACTAACATCATCAAAATGGCGATATTACCAAAAGTTCTCTATAGGTTTAATGCAATGCCAATCAAAATCCCAATGGCATTTCTTGTAGAAATAGAGAAAGCAATCATGAAATTCATATGGAAAAATAAAAGACCCAGAATAGCAAAAACAATGCTAAGCAAGAAGTGTGAATCAGGCGGTATAGCGATACCAGACTTCAAACTATACTACAGAGCAATAGTAACAAAAACAGCATGGTACTGGTACCAAAACAGGCGTGTGGACCAATGGTACAGAATAGAGGACACAGAAACCAATCCACAAAACTACAACTATCTTATATTTGATAAAGGGGCTAAAAGCATGCAATGGAGGAAGGATAGCATCTTCAACAAATGGTGCTGGGAAAACTGGAAATCCATATGCAACAAAATGAAACTGAATCCCTTTCTCTCGCCATGCACAAAAGTGAATTCAAAATGGATCAAGGAACTTGATATCAAATCAGAGACGCGCCGTCTGATAGAAGAAAAAGTTGGCTACGATCTACAGTCGGTGGGGTCGGGCTCCAAATTCCTCAATAGGACACCCATAGCACAAAAGTTAATAACTAGAATCAACAAATGGGACTTACTCAAACTAAGAAGTTTTTTCTCAGCAAAAGAAACAATAAGAGAGGTAAATAGGGAGCCTACATCCTGGGAACAAATCTTTACTCCTCACACTTCAGATAGAGCCCTAATATCCAGAGTATACAAAGAACTCAAAAAATTAGACAATAAGAGAACAAACAACCCAATCAACAAATGGGCCAAGGACCTGAACAGACACTTCACAGAGGAGGACATACAGTCAATCAACAAGTACATGAAAAAATGCTCAACATCTCTAGCTGTCAGAGAAATGCAAATCAAAACCACCCTAAGATACCATCTCACTCCAGTAAGATTGGCAGCCATTAGGAAGTCAAACAACAACAAGTGCTGGCGAGGATGTGGGGAAAAGGGTACACTTGTACATTGCTGGTGGGACTGCAGATTGGTGCAGCCAATTTGGAAAGCAGTATGGAGATTTCTTGGAAAGCTGGGAATGGAGCCACCATTTGACCCAGCTATTCCCCTTCTTGGTCTATTCCCTAAAGACCTAAAAAGAGCATGCTACAGGGACACTGCTACATCGATGTTCATAGCAGCACAGTTCACAATAGCAAGACTGTGGAACCAACCTAGATGCCCTTCAATAGACGAATGGATAAAAAAAATGTGGCATTTATACACAATGGAGTATTACTCTGCATTAAAAAATGACAAAATCATAGAATTTACAGGGAAATGGATGGCATTAGAGCAGATTATGCTAAGTGAAGCTAGCCAATCCCTAAAAAACAAATGCCAAATGTCTTCTTTGATATAAGGAAAGTAACTAAGAACAGAGTAGGGACGAAGAACAGGAGAAGAAGATTAACATTTAACAGGGATGAGAGGTGGGAGGGAAAGGGAGAGAGAAGGTAAATTGCACGGTAATGGAAGGAGACCCTCAGGGTTATACAGTGGAGGGGGTAGAGAGAGAGGAGGGGAGGGGAGGGGAGAGGTGGGGAGGGGGGAGGGTGGATGATGGGAAAGGCAGCGGAGCACAACAGACACTAGTATGGCAATTTGTAAATCAATGGATGTGTAACTGATGTGAATCTGCAATCTGTGTATGGGGTGAAGGTGGGAGTTCATAACCCACTAGAATCAAAGTGTGGAATATGATATGTCAAGAAATTTGTAATGTTTTGAACAACCCACAATAAAAAATTAAAAAAAAAAAAAAAAAAAAAGATGTCCATGTGTGGGAAGCCATCCTGACACGTGACTGGGCGGCTCCTGTTAAGGGTCTGAGGCTTCTGGCTGTGTCGGAATTTTCCCGGCCCTTTCCTGATGAGAGAACCCGTCCATGTAGGGGTGTGACTGACCACTGACCCCAGGGGCCCAATCACTGACCCTGACCTTGGAGTGCAGTCCCCCCTCAACCTTCATTGGATGGAATTATCCCTTGAATTTCTTGTTCCCCAATAAAAGGCTACTCCCTGGCGTGTTCACTCTCTCTCTCTCCTGCTAGCCCTGAGTAATCCTTGCTGCCCTGCTGGGCAGTTAGAGGTTGGAGCCAGAGAGGGGAGCCGTCTTGGACCTGGCAATAGAAATAAGGTAACTGAGTCTGTGTGTTTTATTTCGATCTCTTCTAACTAACTTTATGCCAAGAACCTCATTAATGAAACCATTGCACAGGCCGCATGGTAGATCCATGGGATCTGAGGTACCCCCCACTGCCAGTCATGTCATTCTCACTTGGGGCCTGGCCATTAGTTTTGGGTCTTTGTCTGTTCTATTCTTTGTATTAAAGCATACTTGAAGTTTAAGTGTGATTAATCTGTGTGTGAAATGAGGTACACTATATTTTGGCTGGGTTTGGTTCAGCAGCAAAATCTCTAATCTGTGAGCTTGTAGTGTCCCTGTAGATTTTTATCACCTCACAGAGAAACAATAGCAACAACCCAAGCAACAAATACAGCATTCAAATAAAACCCTTGTCTGTTATGACATCTAGAACACGAATTACCACAGAAATGGGAACCATGGGGCCAGTGATTGCCAACAGCAAGAACAATGAGTAATTGTTAACTAGATCTGGCATAAATCAGCAGGTGTCAGTACTGATAACTGCAGCAACATAAATGGCAGGGGCACAATCCTATAAACTAGATAGGCCAAAAGATGGTGAAAATACAGCTCATTGAGAGAAAAAAGTGTGATAGGAAGGTTGAAGAAAGTTTAGAATGTTCAAAATGTGAACAGAGAAAAGCTGAAGAGATAAAGTGATGGTTCTTGAAAAGGAGGAGGAAAAATAGAAAAAAAAAGTAAAGGGAGAAGGAGAGAACAGAGAATATGGATGTTAAGGGAGAATAAAAGAGACCAAGAGAAAACAACAAACCCAAAGTAAACAAACCACACACCCTGACCCTCAAAGACACGGTGAGGGAGAATAATTGTCACAAAGAATGCTAAAAAGGAGAAAAAAGACACACACACACACACACACACACACACACATCCACAAACCATGCAGCACAGCAAGAGTCACCACAAAGGAAAAAGGAGGAAAAAAATATTCTTAATGAAAAGTGAAAGAGCTGTCTCCACTGAGGAGGTCAGAACAGCTGACAAGGGTGACGTCACTGCTGTGCCCCGCTGTCCTTTCTGCCATCTTTTCTTGGGCCATGGGCTGGAAGAGAGCAGGCTGGGGTTGCTAACCGCTTGCTCTCCCGTGTGGCTCGCGGAGCTGCGGGCTGGAGTGGCTGGACGGACGGGGTAAGGGAGCTCTGGGTGTCCCCCCTCCCGGTGCGGGTGGGCTGCAGTGGGAAGTCCTGTTGGTTGGCGTCTGTCCCAGGGGGTGGCTGCGGCAGAGTCCTGTGGGGAGTTCCAGCAGGTGGGGCTAAGGTCTCATCAGGCCTCAGGGGCTCTGCTGGGCGGTGTCTGCTCTGGGGAGATTAGATCAGCACCCACAGGACCCCCTAGATGCCCATCTCTGTGGATCTGGTCCCAGGATCTTCTGAGAACTCTGCTGGTGGGCAGGGGGCCAGGCCCCGCACACTCTGCTGCCCGTGAACACCAGTCTAAAGAGAGAGATATAAGGAAATTATTGATATAAAATGTATTTAATATGAAAAATTAGAAAGAAAAAATGTTTTTGGATGAGAAAGTAATTTGTATGATAAAGTAACATTTTTGTGTGATAGTCCAAGATAAAGGAAAAACTAACACTAAGGTCATATCGGGCTGGAGTTGTGGCTCAGTGGCAGAGCACTTGCCGAGCATGTATGAGGCCCTGGGTTCAATTCTCAGCATATAAATAAATAAAAAATAAAGTACCTCAACAACTTAAAAAAAAAACCAAAACCTAAGGTTGTAAACAAATTGTAGAATGTCTAAGTAGATTGCAGAATGTTTGTGGAAAGTAAATCTCCAAAAGTTTGTATGGGTGATTAAGTTGGCTATGATTAGTTCAGTCGGTAATTAATATGGTCAGTAAAAATTATTTAAAGGGTTTTCTAAGGTCGGATTTTAATGCACTGATATAAAACAAAGTCTAAAACATTGATCTATTTTTATCTATCAAGATAATTTTTTATATCCATTAGGTTACACTGGGTGGGATTTATTGTATTTTTGGAAGGTAATAAGGAGATCATGATTGTTTAAAGATTGGCAATATGCATCATGGAAATTCTTTGCCACGTTGTCCACAAATAGAACGTGAAGAGCTCTTCTAGCTTTTAATTCATGTTGCAGATGTGATGCTGTGTTGTGTTCACTCACATTCACACAGATCCGGGAAATATCATATGAGAACTTTGTAAAATATATTTTAAAAAGAGGCAAAGATCAGCTTGAGAAATAGACACTTTACCTAAGATTTGTCCAGAGCCTCGCCTTCCCTGAGAGAAAGCTCTGCCTTCCGCCCTACTTCATGTCAGGATGACCCCAAAGTGGACTGGGCTTAAGCTCATTTAAAGGTGTGTTCCAAAGATAGGTTCTTGTTGTACAGATCACTGTGATCTCAAAGTAAACAAGGGATATAATAAAAAACTAAGTAAAGTTTGGGAAAATTATAAAAGTAATTTAAGGGGGGCTAGGGTTGTAGCTCAGTGGCTGAGTGCTTGCCTCACATGCGTGAGGAACTGGGTTCGATCCTCAGCACCACATACAAAAATATATAAATAAGACAAAGATATTGTGTTCATTTACAACTAAAAAAATAAAAATTTTAAAAAAATAAAAGTAATTTAAGATTGTAAAAGAGTTTTAAAAGAAAGTAAAATTTGTAAGGTTTCTTATATGTGATTGAGTTGATAAAGTTATGAATCTTTGTGGAGGCAAAATAGATATTAAATATATATTAGTGCAGTTTTAGAGATTATGTTTCTTGGTTCAAAGCTATTATATAAACCAAATATGTTTTTCCTCTTGTTAACTTTATTTACTTATTTTTGGTATCAAGGATTGAACTCAGAGGAACCTCAACCACTGAGCCATGTCCCCAGCCCTATTTTGTATTTTATTTAGAGACAGGGTCTCATTGAGTTGCTTAGGGATTTGCTTTTGCTGAGGCTGGCTTTGAACTTGAGATCTCCTGCCTCAGTCTCCCAAGCTGCTGAGATTAGCTCTTGTTAACTTCATTTTGTATTTTCCTTGTAAAACTTTATTACCTCTTTGTGTTTTGCAGAACACTGCTTCTATCAGAACAACCTGAGTGTATCTGAGACAATAAGCCATCACCTATAGGACAGAAAGAACACAAGGCTGAATTCCAGGGCTAATACTGACCCCAATTAAATGGAAGGGGCGACAACAAAACTATAGATATGCAGGTTGAAATCCAGTACTCCGACTTCAAGTGTTCCCAAGAAGGATCTCTGAGGAATCTCAGCTGACCCCAACAGAGGTAGGAACAGGGTCAGTTTTGACCAACTTGGTATTAAGCATGTGGTGACAGAGTGTGGCCAAAGCACAGCCACACATGGACATTAGGAAAAGGCATGGTCTCTTTAAGGTAACTTGAGGTGCACATTTGTGTCAGTCCTCCCCAAATCAGTGAAACTGCAAGGTTGGGAAGGAAGGGTCTTTACACAGGAGTGCCTGATAAATATCAAAATGAGCAGTCACACGTTGGTTTTGAATCAATTAGAGACCTACAGATCTTCCTAACGTCCTAATAGGAGGATTTGATCTGTGTTTCGAGGTTTTATTGTTGTTTTGTCTTTGTTTGTTTGCTGGTATGACTATCTAGCCCTGACACTTATTAGGAGCTACTATGTGGGCTCCCTTGTTTGGGAAAAACTGCAGAATTCCCCACCAAGGAAACTAAAGACCAGTCTTTAAGAGAATATGTGCTGGCCATATCCTCCACTTTATCATCTCTTGGGTAAAGGGACTCCTTTCTGAGACTCCTCCTCTGGAGTTTGCAATCGATAGATTGCCGCTCAACTACTTGGTTTAATCAAGACCTTAAGACCTGAGAGAAGAGAAGCTTCAATGGAGCTGGGAAGGACACTACCAGGTGCTCCTGACCACCAGGATGGCTATCCAGAATGCTAAGAAGGGGGAGTGCATTACCATGGATGGTTTCCCCCACAGAAAGTCAACAGGACTAGGATGCCTGGCAATGCCAAGGGGTACAGAAGCAAGATGAAAATGAGACGACAAGGTATAAAAAGAAAAGGGGGTTACGAAAAATAGAAAGTCCACTGGTCCACTTTCAGAATACAGTATTTAGTCTTCAATATAAAATTACTGAGGCTGTAAGAACAGCAGGTGAAGAGGAAATGGAACAGACGGCTACAGGCAGTTCACACCTGAGTCTGCCAGATCCCAGGCCCTTGACGCACAGGAGGTGAGGGAGAGGGGCTGGCCTGACTAAGAGACACACAGGAGGTGAGGTAGCAGGACTGGCCTGACCACGAGACACACAGGTGAGGGAGGGGGACTGACCTGACCAAGAGACACACAGGAGGTGAGGGAGAGGGGCTGACCTGACCACGAGACACACAGGAGGTGAGGGAGAGGGGCTGGCCTGACTAAGAGACACACAGGAGGTGAGGGAGAGGGACTGACCTGACCTAGAGACACACAGGAGGTGAGGGAGAGGGGCTGACCTGACCTAGAGACACACAGGAGGTGAGGGAGAGGGGCTGACCTGACCTAGAGACACACAGGAGGTGAGGGAGAGGGGCTGACCTGACCAAGAGACACACAGGAGGTGAGGGAGAGGGGCTGACCTCACAAAGAGACACACAGGAGGTGAGGGAGAGGGGCTGACCTCACAAAGAGACACACAGGAGGTGAGGGAGAGGGGCTGGCCTTACCAAGAGACAAACAGGAGGTGAGGGAGAGGGGCTGACCTCACAAAGAGACACACAGGAGGTGAGGGAGAGGGACTGACCTGACCAAGAGACACACAGGAGGTGAGGGAGAGGGGCTAGCCTGACCAAGAGACACACAGGAGGTGAGGGAGAGGGGCTGACCTGACCTAGAGACACACAGGAGGTGAGGGAGAGGGACTGACCTGACCAAGAGACACACAGGAGGTGAGGGAGAGGGGCTGACCTCACAAAGAGACACACAGGAGGTGAGGGAGAGGGACTGTCCTGACCAAGAGACACACAGGAGGTGAGGGAGCAGGACTGTCTTGACCAAGAGACACACAGGAGGTGAGGGAGAGGGACTGAGCTGACCAAGAGACACACAGGAGGTGAGGGAGAGGGACTGACCTGACCAAGAGACACACAGGAGGTGAGGGAGAGGGGCTGACCTCACAAAGAGACACACAGGAGGTGAGGGAGAGGGGCTGACCTCACAAAGAGACACACAGGAGCTGAGGGAGAAGGGCTGGCCTTACCAAGAGACACACAGGACATGAGGGAGCAGGACTGTCTTGACCTAGAGACACACAGGAGGTGAGGGAGAGGGACTGACCTGACCAAGAGACACACAGGAGGTGAGGGAGAGGGGCTGGCCTGACCTAGAGACACACAGGAGGTGAGGGAGAGGGGCTGGCCTGACCACGAGACACACAGGAGGTGAGGGAGAGGGGCCTGCCTTACCAAGAGACACACAGGAGGTGAGGGAGACGGACTGACCTGACCAAGAGACACACAGGAGGTGAGGAAGAGGGGCTGACCTGACCTAGAGACACACAAGAGGTGAGGGAGCAGGACTGTCTTGAACAAGAGACACACAGGAGGTGAGGGAGAGGGGCTGGCCTGACCAAGAGACAAACAGGAGGTGAGGGAGAGGGGCTGGCCTGACCAAGAGACACACAGGAGGTGAGGGAGAGGGGCTGACCTGACCAAGAGACACACAGGAGGTGAGGGAGCAGGACTGTCTTGACCAAGAGACACACAGGAGGTCAGGGAGAGGGGCTGACCTGACCTAGAGACACACAGGAGGTGAGGGAGAGGGACTGACCTGACCAAGAGACACACAGGAGGTGAGGGAGAGGGGCTGACCTCACAAAGAGACACACAGGAGGTGAGGGAGAGGGACTGACCTGACCAATAGACACACAGGAGGTGAGGGATAGGGGCTGACCTCACAAAGAGACACACAGGAGGTGAGGGAGAGGGGCTGGCCTGACCTAGAGACATACAGGAGGTGAGGGAGAGGGGCTGCCTGACCAAGAGACACACAGGAGGTGAGGGAGCAGGACTGTATTGACCAAGAGACACACAGGAGGTGAGGGAGAGGGACTGACCTGACCAAGAGACACACAGGAGGTGAGGGAGAGGGACTGACCTGACCTAGAGACACACAGGAGGTGAGGGAGAGGGGCCGGCCTGACCAACAGACACACAGGAGGTGAGGGAGAGGGGCTGACCTGACCAAGAGACACACAGGAGGTGAGGGAGAGGGACTGACCTGACCAAGAGACACACAGGAGGTGAGGGAGAGGGGCTGACCTCACAAAGAGACACACAGGAGGTGAGGGAGAGGGGCTGACCTCACAAAGAGACACACAGGAGGTGAGGGAGAGGGGCTGGCCTTACCAAGAGACACACAGGAGGTGAGGGAGACGGGCTCACCTGAACAAGAGACACACAGGAGGTGAGGGAGCAGGACTGTCTTGACCAAGAGACACACAGGAGGTGAGGGAGAGGGACTGACCTGACAAAGAGACACACAGGAGGTGAGGGAGAGGGACTGACCTGACCTAGAGACACACAGGAGGTGAGGGAGAGGGGCTGACCTGACCTAGAGACACACAGGAAGTGAGGGAGAGGGGCTGACCTGACCAAGAGACACACAGGAGGTGAGGGAGCAGGACTGTCTTGACCAAGACCCTTAAGGTTAAAACTAGTGTTTTGCAGGAAGTGGTACCGAGAGGTTGGCCCCGTGTAGGTAGGCATAGACCCCCAAAGCCAAGGCTCCAGCACAACTTGTTTATCCAACAAACAACAAGAGAGTTGTACTCATGCATTCTAGAAAAATAGGCAATGATAGACCCAGGCTGATTCCCTCTTAAAATTGGGAGCCATCTCACCACAAAGCCATGAAAAGATAATTTCGGCTTCACTATAAATTACTGCAAATTCTGAACTGGCTTGGAATGCCTGCCCGTGCCTTGAACTCACCCGTGCCTGGCTCTCTCTTACCAGACAGCAGCCCTCTCTGAAACTTTAGTGATGCCTCGTAAATCTTGGCCTTCCCTGGCCAGATAACGACCCTCTCTGAGGCTCTAATGACCTTCATAAATTCTGATGTTGGGGCCAGCGAAAGTGTAAACTAGCCTTTGTGTTATGCTCCTCAGAGTTTTGTTATCTTAACCCCGCTTTGTGTAACTTTCTGGGCTATAAAGCTGGGCTGCAGGAAAGATGCAGGGCTGTCTAGTTCCCGTAGTTTTTGTTGGGAGAGGCAGCCTGGCTGGTTGAAATAATAAGCTTGCTTTAATTTGATTTTAATTGGAGTCAGTGGTCTTTCCTTGCATCCTGGTCTAACAGTAACTCCAAGGAAAAGACAGGGACAAAAGACATTTCGGTGAAAGATAAGACAGTAAAACATATTTCTAAGTGTCATGACTTTTCATATAAAACATTTCAGACAACCCCTCCTTTGGAACACTAAAGAGTTTAAAGTACATTTTAAATGGCTGGAAACCACCAGAACCACAGGGTAAGAGTCCGGGCTAAGGGGAGATTTGAATGAGGCAAAGACGTGAGGTGGAGTTTGCTGGAGCCCTTCCCTGAGGCAGCTGTGAGCTCCTAAGGCAGACACTGGATGCTGAGAGCAATGGGCATTCGGGGCCTGGGGGTAAGGGATTGGCATTGTGGGTCACAAGTTTGGGGGGCAGAATCCTAGAAGAGGCAGAGGAAGGGAAGGAGACTGTTACGGAGCAGACCACTCAGAAAACATGCCAAGTCCATTTTGTTCAAATTGGAGAGTCTTTATTTAGCCAGCCGACGGACAGGAAAGTGAGGAACCAGGAGATGAGTGAGCGAGGAATGAACGACGCAGACCAGGCAGAGATACACACGGGGGTGTATTAGTCAGAGCTCACAAACAGGCACACCTCTCCATAGACGGAGAGAGGCAAAACAGGCTTGGGTTTGGGACTTTTATGGGGCAGGCTCAGGGATTAGAGCCAGGCAGGTCCTAAGGGTGGGGTTGGGATGAGGGAGAGGTGAGCCTTTCTCAGAAATGCCCTTGGGTGGGAAAGCAAAATTTTTCTTACAATGGCGGCTGTCACTTAAGATGGCCGTCAAGATGCCTAAGCAAGGACCTTACATTTTCCTCTTTTCTGTTTGTTATTGGGCCCCTAAAGGGACAGGGGGCAAAGATCAATCTTCTGTAGCTTCTTCCTGCTGGGAAGAGGTGGACTCTGGACACTTGTTAGGGACTCAGAGTGTCATTGAGGCAATGGAGAGGGTCAGGGGGTGCCAGGCATGCTGACTCCAGACGGCCCAAGCTTGGTGAGGGGTTGGAAGCCCTGTGACAGCAGCTGGTTCACGGTTTGGTTAGAGATCCTTTGCATCTAGGCTTGAAGAAATGGTGCAGGGGGCAAGCATTAGCAGAAGGCCTGTGGCAAGGAGAGAGGTCAGGAAAGGAAGTGCCACTGGAGAAGGGGTTCCTTAGCTGCCGTCCTCAGTTCCAGTGCCAGAGGGAAGCTCTG